AAGGATTTCTCTAGGAAGAGGTGAGTACAACTCAAGTGTCTCAGACCAATGTAAGACACTTGCTTCCATTCTCATGAGCGTCTGGCCTGTCCTTGTCTCGTGGGGTTTTTAGATGTCAACGTGCTCTTGGAAGATGAATTAAAAAAGAACAAGGGGATTTCTTGTGCTGCTTTTCTTATTTCTGGTTCTGAAGATAAAGTAAGATTGGTACTTCCATTCAAAGTTAGATCATGTCCTTGTGCAAGTTTTTAAAGCTCTGTTCTGAGGAGCCCTGTGCTATTTAAGAAAGATTGCTAGGAGCCCCTCATGTGAAGTTCTGGGGCTATTTTCAAGTGATATGTACAGATTACGCAGAAATCCAAAAAGATGCCCTGACTTAGAGAGCTGGCTGATTATTGTAATGTTGCCCTCCTTATTCCTTTTCAATAATGCAGCAAGCTTGCAGTGGAAGAGGAGTTGGCCTACTGCTTCCTGCCCAACACTGGAGCTCAAGCTGCATTAAAGTGGAAAAAAAAATAGAGGTATGGCACCCCCTTGTGGTTGAATGATACATAGGATCTCTCCACTTCCAAGCTCTCTATATTTACTGTCAGATGTCAAAACAATTGGTTTTTTAAATCATTGCTTAGGCAGAAATTGATGTGATCATTAACCCCTGCATGCATCCTTGATGCTTGCAGTGTAATAACCAAGAATAGGTAAAGGTAAAGGGACCCCTGACCATCAGGTCCAGTTGTGACCGACTCTTGGGTTGCAGTGCTCATCTCACTTTATTGGCCGAGGGAGCCGGCGTACAGCTTCCGGGTCATGTGGCCAGCATGACTAAGCCGCTTCTGGTGAACCAGAGCAGCACACGGAAACGCCGTTTACCTTCCTGCCGGAGCGGTACCTATTTATCTACTTGCACTTTGAGGTGCTTTCGAACTGCTAGGTTGGCAGGAGCAGGGACCGAGCAACAGGCGCTCACCCCGTCGCGGGGATTCAAACTGCCGACCTTCTGATCGGCAAGTCCTAGGCTCTGTGGTTTAACCGACAGCACCACCCGTGTCCCTTAATAACCAAGAATAACCAGCTGCGAATACCTTCCCGCCACAGCAGTACCTATTTATCTACTTGCACTGGCATGCTTTCGAACTGCTGGGTTGGCAGGAGCTGGAACAGAGCAATGGGAGCTCACCCTGTTCAAACCGCCAACCTTCTGATCGGCAAGCCCAAGAAGCTCAGTGGTTTAGACCACAGCGCCACCCACATCCCATAAAACGGCTTGCCAGCAGTACACATGATAAGGATCTAGGAGTCTTAGTTGTCCACAAGCTTAACTGAGTCAACAGTGTGATGAAACAGCAGAAAAAGCTAATGCTATTCTAGACTGCATCAACAGGAGTATACCGTATTTATGCAAATCTGATGTGCACCTCAATTTTCAAAACCTTGAAACCAAAAAAGTATTTGCTTGCATCATCAAATCTAATGTGCACCCTAATTTTCGTGAAGTAATTTGGCCAAAAAAAGTTGCACATTATTCGAGTACGGTAGTTTCCTGATCGAGGGAAGTAATACAGTAATGCCACTCTGTTCTGCCTTCGTTAGACCACACCTGAAGTACTGAATCCAGTTCTGGGCACCACAGTTTACTAAGGTTATGTAGAAGCTGGAATGTGTGCAGAGGAGGGCAAGCAAGATGATCAAGGGTCTGGAAACCAAACCTTATGAGGAATGGTTGAGGGAGCTGGATATGTTTAGCCTGGAGGAGACTGGGAGGAAATAGGGTAGCCATCTTCAAATAACTAATGGGCTGTCACATGGAAGATGGAGCAAGCTTGTTTTCTCCTCTGGAGGATCGGTCCTGATCCAATGGATAAAAGTTGCAAGGAAGGAGATTCTGACTAAACATCAGGAAGAACTTTCTGACAGTACGAGCTGTTTGACAGTGGAATGAACTCCCTTTGGAGGTTGTGGACTCTCCTTCCTTGGAGGTTTTTAAGCAGAGGTTGGGTGGCCACCTGTCATGTATGCTTCAGCAGAGATTCCTGCATTGCAGGGGGTTGGACTAGATGACCCTCAGGATCCCTTCCAACTCAACAATTCCATGATTCTAGGATGCCACATTCCACTTCCCAGGGCTACAAGTTATAGAATTCCCTGCAAAGAAGGATTGATTGTCAAAGTACTCTGGAAATCATAGTTCTAGGAGGGGAATAGCAGTCTCTCCTAACAACTCTGCAGTCTTACCTCCTGGAATCCTTTGGGGAAAGCCATAGCTCTTTAAACTGGTTTGATGCTGCTTTAAATGTATGGTGCAAATGTGACCCAATGTCAAACATAACATGGAAGAAGGAGAACTATTTGTCATCTTCCAATGGGTCACTTTAGCGAGATCACCCAAAAAAAACCAACACAACACCCTTAAAATATATTGTGCAATCCCTTTTTTTATAAGCATGTTTTAATTAGTTTGCGGTTACCTTTTGGCCTTTTATGTTCCCACTCTTCTGTTTCGGTTGTGCTTTTCAAAGGCAGGTGGTGGGGAAGAATCATAGAGTTGGAAGAGACCACAAGGGCCATCGAGTCCAACCCCCTGCCAAGCAGGAAACACCATCAGAGCACTCCTGACAAATGGTTGTCAAGCCTCTGCTTAAAGACCTCCAAAGAAGGAGACTCCACCACACTCCTTGGCAGCAAATTCCACTGTCGAACAGCTCTTACTGTCAGGAAGTTCTTCCTAATGTTTAGGTGGAATCTTCTTTCTTGTAGTTTGGATCCATTGCTCCGTGTCCGCTTCTCTGGAGCAGCAGAAAACAACCTTTCTCCCTCCTCTATGTGACATCCTTTTATATATTTGAACATGGCTATCATATCACCCCTTAACCTCCTCTTCTCCAGGCTAAACATGCCCAGCTCCCTTAGCCGTTCCTCATAAGGCATTGTTTCCAGGCCTTTGACCATTTTGGTTGCCCTCCTCTGGACAAGTTCCAGTTTGTCAGTGTCCTTCTTGAACTGTGGTGCCCAGAACTGGACACAGTACTCCAGGTGAGGTCTGACCAGAGCAGAATACAGTGGCACTATTACTTCCCTTGATCTAGATGCTATACTCCTATTGATGAGGCCCAGAATTGCATTGGCTTTTTTAGCTGCCGCGTCACACTGTTGGCTCATGTCAAGTTTGTGGTCAACCAAGACTCCTAGATCCTTTTCACATGTACTGCTCTCAAGCCAGGTGTCACCCATCTTGTATTTGTGCCTCTCATCTTTTTTTGCCCAAGTGCAATACTTTACATTTCTCCCTGTTAAAATTCATCTTGTTTGTTTTGGCCCAGTTCTCTAATCTGTCAAGGTCGTTTTGAAGTGTGATCCTGTCCTCTGGGGTGTTAGCCACCCCTCCCAGTTTGGTGTCATCTGCAAATTTGATCAGGATGCCCTTGAGTCCATCATCCAAGTCGTTGATAAAGATGTTGAATAAGACCGGGCCCAAGACAGAACCCTGTGGCACCCCACTAGTCACTCTTCTCCAGGATGAAGAGGAACCATTGATGAGCACCCTTTGGGTTTGGTCAGTCAGCCAGTTACAAATCCACTGAGTGGTAGCATAGTCAAGACTGCATTTTACCAGCTTCTTTACAAAAGAAGAGATGTGGTTTATCCCAGTCTCTTCCAACCCCCTTCTCTCTCCCCCCCCCACCCGGTTTATCATTATTTTGAAAGCACTCCTTGACAACAAGCCATGCCCATTTGAAATTCGGACAATACAGGCTGCATTGTATCTTTTAGCATCGTGGACCTCTCCTTCCAGCCCGCCGCACAGTGAGCGCTGGAAGAAAGAGTTGCCATCCTAACATCCGCTCACATGCATGGGCAGTGCTATTGCTCCGGTTGCCTGGTAACCAGGGGGAGGCCTGCCCGAGGGCGAGCGGATGCTGAATTAAATAGCATCTCGGGTCGGTCGGTCTCAACGCTACTTTCTGCTTGCTGTCAGCGGCAGGCTGGGAATGTGCTTTATTTACAACTGATGGATCAACTTGTCTTTGTTCTGCTGGGGAGCGTTTCGGCCCAAGGAAGCCGTATGTAGTTGGTGATGTGCTGGTGGTGACTGGGGCGTGGCCTGCTTTCAACCATAAAAACCACTCCTGTTTACCATACAGTGGTACCTCGGGTTACATACGCTTCAGGTTACAGACTCTGCTAACCCATAAATAGTGCTTCAGGTTAAGCACTTTGCTTCAGGATGTGAACAGAAATCGTGCTCCGGCGGCGCAGCAGCAGTGGGAGGCCCCATTAGCTAAAGTGGTGCTTCAGGTTAAAGAACAGTTTCAGGTTAAGTACAGACCTCCAGAACGAATTAAGTACTTAACCTGAGGTACCACTGTAATGAACTTCCAAGTATTGGAAGCGATTTACATGTATTGACACGTCGTTCAGTCTCAATATATGTGGAGGGGTTTGTGTTTGCTGGGGCTCCTACCCCAGGCAAGAAAGGAAGCCATAGAAGACTGGATCGATGGGGGGGTGGGCGCGCAAGCACTTAACCTTTTGCTTTCCAGCTGTGTGTTCATTCTAAATCTCCTCCCTGGGGTGCGGGGTTGGGACAGAGCGATACAGGGATCCACATCTTCCCTTGCTGTGGCTGGAACCAGCTCTCCACACACACCCCTCTCCTAGAACTTGCAGAGAAATGAAGAAGGCACAGATGCAGCCTGAGACTATGTGGGAAAGACCCTGGAGAGGAGGATTTCTAGTTGATGCTGAGAAAGCAAGGGGCCTTTGGTCCTCTCGACTGCCGTGTGGGAGCAAGACCTACTGGGAAGAGTTGGTGAAATCGCTAGGCCTACGCTGTTTTCGGTTTCTTGAATAAAGAGTTGACTTCACTGAGACCATGTTTTTCTTTGACTTTGGCTCCTGACAATTAAAATAATAATCTCCCATCAGCCCCAGCCAATATGGACAGGGAGGGTGGGAGCAGTTGTGCTAAAACATCTGAAAGATTACAAGTTTCCCATTTCTGGTTTTTTTTTTTAAATAATTTTTATTAACAGGCCAATCACATCACATTAATTCCAAATCACAATAATTCCAAATTACGCAGCCAAATTTTTAAAACTTTTGTTGGGGGTACCCATGCTTCGAGCTCCGAAAGGGATCCGATCATCTCTCTTGCTGCTGCTTTAATTACACAGTTCTGTCAAAATAATATTCACAGTTCTGTTCAATCTTGTCTTTGTTGTTTTCCTCATCTTCTTGTTGTTATCATATATTCCTTTCTTTGTGATCTCTGATAATCTCCACAAGCGGGTTGAAGACAAACGTTGTTATATTCTGTGTGGATTTTACACTCATCCAAGAGCCATAAAAGTAGACAGACGCCATTTCAACACCTCTGTACAAAACATTCCGACAGTCTGTCCTGATCTCCCCAGGCCCGCCTCAAGTTTCCCATTTCTGGGGGGGAACCGCTCCTTCCCCAGTGGCTGGGAATACCAGATGCTGGGAACCATAGAGTGGGTTTGCACTCATGACCTGCTTGCAGACTTTCAATTGAGGCATCAGGCTGGCCACTGAGAACAGGCTGCCGGACTAAATAGGCCTTTGGCCTGATTCAGCAGGGATCTTCTCAATGTTCCTACGTCTCTGTACTTTATAAGCTGCTTTTTGGAAGGCAAGGAAAGGCGTTTGCTTGTTAAGCTATACTCATCTGCCTCTGACATTACGTTTTTGCTCTAACTCCGCAACTGCTTTCCACCGCCTCTCGAAAAAGCGTTTGAGATTGTTGAGCCTTTGCAGTGATCGTAGCTCTCTACACTCACAAAACATTTCAAATAGGCATGCCTAATTGGGCCCCAGTGCAAAGTGTTGTGCAACCATTTTCCTGGGAATCCGCCTGTCCAGTAGGTTTCTTAGGCTTTTGCACAAAATCTAGGGAGATGTAGACCAAGGGATGCCTGAGTACAGTAAAGCCTTCTATGGCAAAATGACTCGGGGCTGAAGTACTTTTTAGGATGGCGAAAAGCCTGCCATGTAGCTGTGATGGGATTTATTAGCAGTCCTATTGAAGCTGGCTCATTTCATGCCACTCTTTAGGGAAGGTTTAAAAAAATATGCCTTTCAGCTGCAGGGCTAAGCATGCAGGATTTGCAAGTGAGTGCCACTGAAATCATAGAATTGTGAAAGGAACCCCAAGGGTGTTATCGACTGGTTGGATGCCGAGGAACCAGCTGGGGAACCCCCAAGGGTAGAAGGCTCAGAGTCTGGGGACTGGTGGTGGGATGTTAATGAGTTGTCAGAGGGAGAAGACAGGGAGGAGGTAGTGTCAGAAGCTGAAGAGCTAACAGGGTTTAGTGAGATGGGAGAGTCTGTGGCAGAGAGGAGTTCAGGTGCAGAAATGGAAGCGGAAGCAGGAAAGGAGGGAGACAAGAGGCAGAGATGAGTCTGGCTGGCGAGGAAGCCAAATTGCCTCCCCCTTCTGCTGCGACAAGCTCCCCTCTTCCCTGGTCTCCCGGAACCAAGAGAGGCATGAAGTGGGAAGAGCAAAGGCAGGCATGCCTGCAGAGTCTCAGATTGCTTGGGGAAATGTTTAAATGAGGAGGGGAACCATGTGCACTACTCCTTTGAGGAAAAAGTGGTGTGTAAAATAAACACTGTAGGCATATCTGATTTTTTATACCTGTGAATGATTGCTGTGGCACATACTGCAGAAAGTAAGGCATGTTTATTTGAAATCGGGGTCAGTAGAAACGTGATCTTTCATCCAAGCGCGCTCAACACTTTTCCTATTCCTGTGAACAGACAAAGAATTAGGCTTTCTTCACTAGCTGCTGGTTTTGGTTTTGGTTTTGAAAGAAAGGCAATGAAGGGCTTTCCCCCTGGGATGTCATGCCCACTGCTGATCTAGAACATGTGAGAGAGCAGGGAAAGACTTCCTAACTGTTAATGTAAGTAGCAGGTATTGTCAAGAGAGAAGACTAGGCTGCAAAACGTTTACTCCTGAAGCCCTGGCTTTCTATATGCGGGGAGGTCTTTCTAAGGAGGGTAGAATTCAGACATGCAAATTGCTGCCATCTGCAGTCCTGAAGTGGCTGAGTCCAATGAATTGTTTTACCTGCCGGATTCTGCAGATTGTGTAAGGAGGCATTCCCAGGGGAATTGTGTGGAGGAAGAACCTGGAAAATTCACGCAGCTTTGCTCTAGTGTGGTGGGGCAGCTATGGTCCTCTAGTATCTCATTGCCCGGTATCTCAATTCACCTGCATCTTTTCTTGCGAGGGAGAGCATATAATTTGGAAGTGCCCATCTTCAGGGGTAGGAATGGTTCCCATACTCCCTGTGCCAGCAGTCCCTGCCACGGTGGGACCCCCTTCCATCCCGGCTTGGTAAATCCTGTGGGCCCTGGTTTCTTGAACGGCAGGGCTTGCTTCAGGGAAGCAGAAGCCGCAGGTTTCAATGGGCTCTGGTGTCCGGCTGCCGCTGGATCTGCTCCCCACGCTCCCTGCTTCCATTAGACACTCTGAAAAATAAGCCCATGTGCATTAAAGTGGGAGTCTTCCCAGAAGCTGCCAGCGTTGTGTGGCAGGCAGTATCAGGTAAGAAGCATGGAGACACGAGTTCAAATCTCAACTCAGCCATGAAAATCACTGCATGAGGTTTGGGCCTTTATTTATCCAGGCCAAGTGTTCTTACTTTCCAGGGACAGTCCCAGATTTACAGAAGCCATCCCGGTTTCTGGTTATATCCCGGAATGTTCCACTTTTCCTTAGGATGTCCCTATTTTGCATATTGGAGGTAATGGGTGCCTATTTTCATTGGAGTAATTTTTGGGGGTATGTAGTTCTGCCAAGAAGATAACTAACTATACAACCTTTAGAAGACATCTGAAGGCAGCCCTGTACAAGGAAGGTTTATTTTAATGTTTAATGTTTTATTATGTTTTTATATATGTTGGAAGATGTCCAGAGTGGCTGGAGCAACCCTGTCAGATGGGTGGGGTATTAATGATGATGATGATGATGATGTTATTAAATAGGACATCCCTATTTTCATTGGAGAAATGTTGGAGGGCATGTTTATCCATTATATTTAAAATCCATCCAGAAGGCAATCAAGCTGGGCATTTGCTGAGGCCTCCATACCAAAAGAGGCACAACAGAGTGGAATGGATGGCACAATGCACAAAGGGTATCTGAGGAGGCTGGGAAAGGTGTGAGAGAATTATTGGGTTGCTGTGAGGTTTGGGGGGCAGAATAGAATCTTGCTCAGTCCTGAGCATAAGAGGCAGAACAGTGTGCGCTAAACAATACCTTTCAGTGCTTGGGGTACATCTATTGGTTTTATGGCAGTTTTAACTGCTACGCATGCCCTCCCAAATGTCCCTATTTTCCTGGGACAGGCCAGGAATTCCAAAAGCTTCTGACTTGATCCTGAAATGCCCCTATTTCCCCCACCAATCTCTTTCCAGCCTGGGAGAGCCCTTGCCCCTTCACAGAACTACTCCACAGGGAAGCAAGAATTAATGTCAAAGCCTAACCCTGTAGAGTACACACTAGTGTAACTTTTTTTTTAGCTGCACAGCTGGAACCTGTAATAAAATGATGTAGCATGAAGGCTTTTTTTGGGGGGGGTCCTTCCCTTTCTTGCGCTGCTGCAAACCAGTACGTTTCCGAGCACAATTAAAAGTGTTGGTGCTGACCTTTAAAGCCCTAAACGGCCTCGGTCCAGTATATCTGAAGGAGCATCTCCACCCCCATCGTTCTGCCCGGACACTGAGGTCCAGCTCCGAGGGCCTTCTGGCGGTTCCCTCACTGCGAGAGGCCAAGTTACAGGGAACCAGGCAGAGGGCCTTCTCGGTAGTGGCACCCGCCCTGTGGAACGCCCTCCCACCAGATGTCAAAGCGATAAACAACTACCTGACATTCAGAAGACATCTGAAGGCAGCCCTGTTCAGGGAAGTTTTTAATATGTGACATTTTAGTGTATTTTTTATCTTTGTTGGAAGCCGCCCAGAGTGGCTGGGGAAACCCAGCCAGATGGGCGGGGTACAAATAATAAATTACTATTATTATTATTATTATTATTATTATTATTATTAACCGGGGGTTCCACCATTCCCCAAACTCCCTCTTGTGCATGAGCAATGCTGTTTTGACTAATAAATAATGGCACCCCCAGCCTGAGCATTAGATGGAATGGTACTTTCCTCTGTTTTTCTCCTTTCTCTCCCCATCACTGTAATTTTAAAAAGTAAGAAAATAATATTGGAGGGGAGATAAAGGGGTGGTTGTTGCGGCGACCTGTGGCATAGCCTACTTGTGGAATCTTTCCTTCCAGTTGAAGACCAGTGTGTCAGACTGGGATCTGGGAGACCAGGGTTCAAGTCCCCACGCAGCCACGAAGCTAACGGGCTGACCTTGGGCCAGTCATTATCTCTCGAGACTAACCTACCCCACAATCTTGCGGGAATATGATTGGCAAGGGACAGGGGGAGATTGAACCATGAACGCTCTCTTGGAGCTCCTTGGAGGAAAAACAGGCTGTGAATGCAGTAAATAGCAATGCCATAGATAAAAGACAAATGCATTGGGGGGGAAAGGCCTCTATGAGGCTGAAAATGTAAACAAGAAGAGGCAATGGCTTGGTGCTAGGGCTGCCAAGCCTTCAGGCCTCACCCAAAGTCTCAAGGTTTGCCTGGCTCCCTCCAGGTGGCATGTGGAGGGGTGGCATCAGAGTGCATTTAATTATGGTGCTGGAGGAGACTCTTGAGAGTCCCATGGACTGCAAGAAGATCAAACCGATCCATTCTGAAGGAAATCAGCCCTGAGTTCTCACTGGAAGGACAGATCATGAAGCTAAGGCTCCAATACTTTGGCCACCTCATGAGGAGAAGACTCCCTGGAAAAGACCCTGATGTTGGGAAAGGTGGAGGGCACAAGGAGAAGGGGACGACAGAGGACAAGATGGTTGGACAGTGTTCTTGAAGCTACTAACATGAGTTTGACCAAACTGCGGGAAGCAGTGGAAGACAGGAGTGCTTGGCATGCTCTGGTCCATGGCATCACAAAGAGTCGGACACGACTAAACGACTAAACAACAACAACAACAATTAAGAAGACTGTGTATGCATATTGCAAGCTTCTGCCCAGCGGGAACCGACTGAATCATAGCACAGAAAGCCCTCCCAATTAACCTCCATCTCCAAGGTTCACCGATGTCACACCACCGGAGGCTGCTTCTAGATCTCAGGTTTGTGCTCTGAAATCTCAGGGTCTGGGATGCTCCTGGCCTGGCAACCCTACACAAGGCAAGCCACCATTGAGTGAGGAATCCAGCAGCCTACGAAGCCTGAATTTTGCTTTGGGAAAGGTTCCAAGTCCTGGTGGCAAAGACACACTTGAACATTGTAGACCAGGAAGGTCTGAGGAGATGGGGTGTGGGCTAGGGAGGATTTTTGGTGGTGAGTGTGTGCTTTGGAGAAAGGAGTGTGGGGCTTCCATTATCTTCATAGTTTCCTGCAAAGTCCCCCTGGCCTAGCAGAAGCAGGAAACAAGCAAGCATGTTTTTAAGTGGGTTAAATAATTTATACAGTTTTTCTTGGCACAGGAGAGAGAGAGAGAGTATGTGTGTGTGTGTGTGTGTGTGTGTGTGTGTGTGTGTGTGTTTAGGGCTGTCCTCTATTGAAAGAGATTTGTTTGATTTCTCATAGGCACTTGATCACTTAAACTAGTGAAATACAGAAATCCACATATGGGTAAACAATTATAAAAGGGGTGGGTGGGAGAGAACCAAATTATTATTTATTGGGTGGGGGGAGGGTGTTAGTGCCTGCCAGAACAGATGAAAGCATTCTCTGTCCAGTGTATGTCACTTTTTTTTGCAAATATTTAATGTTTCAAAAAATTAAATTAATGCCAGCTTTTCTATTAATCAAATAGATTAATTTACTGTGGGTTACATCCTTAGACCAGGACAGTTTACTGTGGCATAAATACAACCTTTGATAAAGCAGAATGCTGAGGTCTGAAAGTAGACTGTGCTTCTTTAGACTTCAGTGGGGAATCGTAGTTTTTAACATTCTTCAGACAAACCTCACTGCAGTTAAGAGTTCTAACTCAGCCAACTTTACACTCTGCTTTTCCTCTTGCGGGAAAAGCTTAAAAAATAAATAAATAGGAGGAGCATATGCCAATGTGATCGCCACATCTACTTATCTAAAGCGTACAGTCCTCCCCACTACCTGATTCATTTTATTTTATATTGACAAAGTAATAATCATAAATAAATAAGAATAAAAATGTGCACCCCACCACTGAGACCATTCCATTGTAACTATCCAACCTCCCAAAACTTCAACACCTCTTGCGACGGTTTAACCCCTTTCCATTTTAACAGTACAAATTCTACAAACGCCCTTCATATCTCCTCAAAATCATTCCTCCTGCATAGTCCACCATCTTACCTTAATGGCACATGTTAATTTATCGTTAATAGCTATATCCCACATCTCTATACTATTCTTCCATTTTATATTCTGCTGCCCCTTCCACTTCCTAACTATAATAACTCGTGCAGCTGTCAATAAATTTGTGAGCCAGTCCTTCATCACCTCCCACCACCTGATTCTGATGCATCTGTAGATCTAACCCGATTCTATGCTGGACAATATAGATTCTGCATTTGGGGTAGGTTGAGAAATCTGAACTCAAATGATAGAAAGCATTTACCTTTGGGGCTGTCATTTCCTTTCCGGCAAGCGATGGTACCGGCTTGGCAGATCGCCGCATCCACCCATTTCCTAAAGTGAACCCAAGTCAACAGCAAGGAGAAGAGCAGAGTACACAGACAGATGCCCAAGACCATGTAGATGACCATCCGCTGGTCACACGCACTGTCCATCTTGCACTGGACACCCTGTAGAGCAGCCACTGCTGGTAAGGTAGGTGCAGCATCCTCTGAAAGTCAGTGGAGGGGCAACAAGGTCAACAGCTGCTCATCTAGCAGGAATCCTCCATGGAGCTTTGGTGAACATCCTGTGCACAGTGCCTAACGCAGGGATCAGGAACTTTTACCAGCCCAATGGCCACATTCTGTTCTGGGAAACCTTCCGAGAGCCACGGGCCAGTGGTGAACAGGGCCAGAGGCAAAAGCTAAATCTTACTTTGTACACACACATTACACTATTCCCCCCCACCCCGAATCTGCCTGGTGTGTTGGCACATCCGCCGTACACGCTATACCTTTAAAGAATTCTGCGCACTGTAGTTTCCCCCTCACAGAGTTACAATTCCCAATAACCCTTAACAAACTACAGTGCCCAGAATTCTTTGAGGGGAAGGATGTGCCTCAAATGTGCTTTAAAGGCATAGCGTACACTGGATCTTAGCAGCAGCATAGAATTCTGTCCTTTATCCCCCAACGTTTTGGTTTATACAGGCATGCTCCGACACAGAAGCTCTGTAACCTAATTCTGGAGTGTTGCGTCTGGGCGGGGCGGGAAGGAGTTGAGCTGTATTTACACTCTGAGAGGGAACGCTCTCTCTATATGCCTGGAGGTATCATCTGGGGCTGAGAATCCAGTGAGGAAAACCCTGCTTTCCAGCTCTAATGTGGCCCATTCATCCCAGGCACTTACTTTTGCAAAAAGGGTTGCATTCCCTGGGGTGCTGCCCACAGATACTAACACAACTTAAGCACTGCCTCAGGAGCCAATCGTAGTAGAAGCCCTCATGTTTGCTGCAGTCCATGGAACCTGAGGAGAAGGAGACAAAACAGGATTTGCATCCATTGTATTAAATAAATAACGAGCGAGATGCTCCAGTCACGAGTCAGCATTTTCTCCGGTCCAATCTTGGGCCCGCCTGCAGTTCATTGGCTACCAGCTCATGTTGCCATGGGAACAGCAGCATCCTTGAGGCTGGCGAAAGCTGGAAGAGGGATTGCTCTCCTCTCGCCACTGAACTGCTGGAGCATCTGGCTTGCCAGCCGGTTCACCTTATTCCTTGAAGCTTTTTGCACCTATTGCCGGCTGTTAAATCAGCCTGCATCCACCAAGCATGGCTGACGCGCCCTTCAGATGTTGCATAGCGCTTGTTGTCAGAAATAAGTGGTGATAAATAGGGATCGTGATTATTTTTATGGGCTTCATAAATTAGCTCATTATAATATTTTGTTTTGACGGGGATGGGGGAGTCTGTGGCACTCCCAATGCGGTTAGACTCCAGCTGCTGTCAACCCCAGCCTTCGTGGTCAGGGATGATAATAGTTGTAGTTCAAAATACATGGAGAGTTGCAGATTCAACATCCCTCTTCGTAAATGAGCTCCGTAACCCATGCCAATTCCAATTAGGGTTGCAGCTATATTCAATTAGCCAATAGACCGATTGATTAAAACCTTTTCAAACAAAGAAAATATGCTTCTTGCTCTGGAAATTATTATTGAATTGCATTTATAGCCCACCTTTCCTTCAAGGGGGGGTGCGTGGTTCTTCGCCGCCTCCTTGAATCTTACAACAACCCTGTGAGGCTGGTTAGGCTGGTTAGTGACTGACCCAAGGTCGATGTCATGGACTGGCTGGGCACTGGGGAGTATTGGGAGCTACCAGCTGGGGAACCCCCAAGAGACAAAGGCTCAGATCCCAGAGATTGGTGGTGGGACGACAATGAGTGGTCACAGGGAGAAGAAGAAGAAGACTGGGAGGAGGAGATATTGGAAACTGAAGAGGTAACAGGGCTTAGTGAGCTGGGGGAGCCTGTGGCAGAGCAAAGTCCAGAAGCAGAAGCTGACTCAGGAGAGTAAGCCAAGAGTCAGAGATGAATCAGGCTGCTGAAGAGTTATGGGTGTCTCCCGCTCCTGCTGCAACAAGCTCCCTTTGGGAAGTATGTTGACCAAGGCTGAGTACCAGTGGGAACATCTGGTGGACTCTGGAAGAGGACTCTGATGAAAACACTCCCTCTCCAACCCTAGAGCTTCTTTCCTACTTGGTGGAGCTCCCTATTTGAAGGGCTGTCCAGTCCAAGTCTGGCCAAAAGATAAATACTAGAGTTGTCAAATCAGGAGCATCCCAAACCCTGAGGTTTCACATCCCAAACCTCTGAGCTAGGGTGGCCCCTGGTGATGTCACAGGATGGGCCCTGGAGATGGAAGTTAATGGGGGGGCACTTCCCCACCTCCAAGTATGCTACAGTTTGTAGCTGGCTCCTGCTGGGCTTTGTAAGCTTGCAAGCTGCAAGTAAGTCTTCTTAATAATATGTATTATTATTAAAGGGACTTTTGTCTACCTGGAGATTCACCTCCATCTGACATCTACAGGGGGCCAGGCACACCTGGAGACTTCAGGTAAGACTGGAGGTCTGGCAACACCAATAAATACCCTTTAGAAAGGAGGGCAAGAGGCCCTTGCAGCTTCCCATCAAAGGTTAGTAGCACCTGAACAGCAGGTTGTGCAAAACACACAGCTCACCTGGCCGCCCTTTTCTCCAGGACAGATAAATGCAATCTTAAATCATAGTCACTAATTTTGCATTTAAGCTTACAAATTAACATATTAAATTTTTGTGCAAATTTTATGCAAAAGAACATCCTATTTTTTCTCTCTCTTTTTTTACAAAAAAATTTATACCACCATTTTTCCAGGAAAGCGAGCCAGGAGCCGGGAGAGATGATGTTTCTCTGGGACCATCAAGGGCTATTTCTGAGCTGCCATTGCAAGGGGGATGCAGCAACTGATGTCAGCTGATCTGATTCCAGGATCTGGGAGCAGCATGGTTGAAAAGAGGCACGCAAATATTGCAACTTAAAAATAAAATAAAACAGCACATGTTCCCAGGACACTCACTGCAGGCATCGGCACATCCTTGAAATGGGCGCGGGTGACATGTGACATTGCAGGCTACGCACTTTTGCAAGAGCTCGTCCAAGAACTCATCCTTTGCACACGGCATGGCAACCCAGGAAGACTGTGGAAATAGAGAGGGGTAGAGTGAAAATCTCACTGAAGGGGCAATGGCGCCAGGCTCACTCTCTGCAAAAGAGGGACTGGGGGACCACAAAGAAGGGTACCAGGGGTGGGTTTCTCTTAGCCCACAATCTCACCATACAGTGGTACCTCGGGTTAAGTACTTAATTCGTTCCGGAGGTCCGTTCTTAACCTGAAACTGTTCTTAGCCTGAAGTACCACTTTAGCTAATGGGGCCTCCTGCTGCCGCCACACGATTTCTGTTCTCATCCTGAAGCAAAGTTCTTAACCCGGAGGTAATATTTCTGGATCAGCAGAGTCTATAACCTGAAGTATATGTAACCCGAGGTACCACTGTACATTTAAAGCAGTATCATATCACTTTAAACAGTCATAGCTTCCCCCCAAATAATTCTGGGGTTGTGGCTTGTTAAGGGTGCCAAGAGTCATTAGGAAACTCTTCTCTCCCTCCTCAGAGCTACAATTGCCAAAGTGGATTAACAATCAACCCCTCTTCACAGGGAACTCTGAGAACTGTAGCTCTAGGGAGGGGAACAGGGGCCTTGTAAAATGTCTCAGAACCCTTAATGAACTACTGATCCCAGAATTCCTTGGGGGAAGCCATGGCTGTTTAAAGTGGCGTGGTACTGCTATAAAGGCATGTCATGAATGTGGCCTTAGTTCTCTCTTCTTCTTTTTTTCAATCTCAAGTTTCAATCTCCAGCATCCTTTTCTCACAGTGGCCAACATAGGAGCTAACTCCTAGGGGCTGAGGTCCCTTTGCTTCCTTGCCCATAACCATAGCTGTCAACTTTTCCCTTTTCTTGCGAGGAATCCTATTCGGAATAAGGGAATTTCCCTTTAAAAAAGGGGGAAAGTTGACAGCTATGCCATGAACTATCTGAGGGGCCTTGGACCCCCAAAATTGATGGGCACTGGCATTCAAATGCGCTGTGTGTGTGCGTGTGTGCGTGTCTTGTGGTTGATCATGTGGTGACGGGCTTAACTGGGCCCCCCAACATTTTGTTCAAGTTGGCACCCCTGCTGGCCAGCCACATGCCCATGGTTAGCCTAAAAGCAGGACCTGAACTTCTCTCCCCCCCCAGCTGTTTCCAGTCACTGGCATTCAGAAGCATCCTCCCAAGCAGCTCTTGATACTATTCATGGGTTTGCCTAAGCCTGTTTCAAATCCATCCAACTTGGTGACCCGTCACTGCTTCTTTCGGGAGCAAATTCCGTAGTTTAACTCTGTGGTTTGTGAAGAAGGAATCATTGCAGAGTTGGAAGGGAGCCTGAGGGTTATCCAGCCCAACTCCATGCAATGCAGGAATTTCTGTTGTCTGTCCTGCGTCTTCCAACATTCTGCTTCTTTGGGTCCCCAAAGTTCTAGCATTTCTAGGGAGAATAACTTCTTCTCTGTGCTATGTATAATTTTATGCACTTCTATCATGCCCAAAATGCTATAATCTCTCCTCACAGGGGAGTCGCTTCATCCCCCTTGATAATTTGGGTTGTCCTTCTCTGAACCTTTGGGGGAGGTAAAGGTAAAGGGACCCCTGATCATTAGGTCCAGTCATGAACAACTCTGGGGTTGCAGCACTCATCTCGCTTTACTGGCCAAGGGAGCCGACGTTTGTCTGCAACAGGAGCTCACCCCGTTGCAGGGATTCGAACCGCCGACCTTCCAACTGGCAAGCCCTAGGCTCAGTGGTTTGGACCACAACGCCACCCGCATCCCAAGGCTCCAAACCGGAGGTGGAGCCTAGAGCCAATGACAGGCAGAACCAATGAATTCCCCATCATCATCCTTGCTTATTTCTAGAAGAGGCAATGTTGAAACTTAGCTGACTTAGTTTATATTGAAGAATGGAAACCCTTTTTGGAATACCTGTGAAAGAACTGTAGTCAAATGAATTTTGAAAGGGGTTGAATTATGAGCAGCGGATTAAGAATGGCAATAAGTGTAACAGAGGAAATATGTTATTAGATATAGTTTGACATAAAATGCAGCAGATTGTGGGTGGAAACAAAAACACAACAGTAAGGTAAGGGTGGGAAGCCACCCTGCTTATTTTGAAATAGAAATGTATACTGAATTTGAAGTTAATGTGTTTTAAGTTTTCAAAATGGAATAAAACGTATTAGAAATGGGGGGAGAGACTTAGCTGATACTACGATCCTCTGGAGTGGTTGCAAGTAAGAGGGTTGACTGAGGCTGGTGGGGCAGTGGCCCCCCCCATCTGCCCTAATGGTCAAACCACCCCTGAATGCTGGACAATACACTGAGGCCAGTGAAAAAGGATTGTGGCAAAGGAAAGTGATACCTTTTTTTAACCTAATTTCCCAAGGAGAGTCTTTGGACCCCATTCTAGTTGTTTGCCCTACATGTACCTTTGGAAAACCAAAAATTTATACAAGACGCAGCAATGGTTATATTTTCTCTCTTTCGAACAGTTGAGCCTGCATCAGATGGCTCTCCAAGCTCATTCTCCTGTGGTGCTTTCATTGAAAAACTGGCACTGTTAACTGTCTCTGCACTGTGACAATTTCAGCTTCAATACGCCCTCCTGTGGTCGGATCTAGTTGTTGCCATGGCAAGGCAATGCTTTCTTCTGTGGCAAATGCCAGAATGTGATTAAGGATGTGTAGCTCTGGCTATTTCCATTCTGTGCGCCCCCGCCCCCCCCCCGCAATATACATTTAAAGCAGCAGCATATCACCTTAAAGCAGGGTTGCCATATTTCAAGAAGAGGCTAATATCTATCTGATATTATCAGATGGAGAAGCCATGTGATGCAGGCTCTGACAACCTCGAAAGTTGTTGAGCTTTATTTAGGAACACCCCAAAATTGTTGAGCTTTTTTTTAGACTAACCCCAAAGTTGTTGAGCTCTTTTAAACAAAAACGCCAAAAAACCTGCAATTTTTCAATTGTCTTGCCTAAGATCCAGGACAATGTGTCACCTTCCCCACCCGGACGTCAGTTCCACCTTTGAAAGCCCGGACGTATGGCAGTCCTGTTTAAATAGTCAGTAGATATTTGGCATTCCTTTTCGTGGAAACGACCCTGCAGGTAGAAAACAAACACAGAAGCAGGGTGGGATCCAGCCTCCTTCTGGAAGGGCAACGTGTAAGGAGCCGTGACTTTTCAGAAGTTTGAACCGTCTATTTGCCAATCTCTCATGAGAAAGAGGCCTGGTGTGCCTGTCAGTGATTTTTCAGCACCAAATACTTTGTTTTTATCTTCTCAGACCTTTTAGCATCTCTAACATCTTTTAACATAATTTTTTTCTCCCCCCCCCCCCCCCCAGGAATTACAGAATTACGACAATTCTACCAGTTTTAGGTTTTAGCATATGTTTTGTTACGCTATATCTATCTATCTATCTATCTATCTATCTGGTTGGCCGCCAAGATTTGATTTGTTAAATAAATTGGAGTTCTTGTTATTAAAAACTCCGTTTGAGTTTGTAATCTCTATTTGAGTTTGTAATCCTTGTCAGAATACATACTTTTGAATGGATTTGTTTTTATTACAACTGACTATTAATTTGCGAGTAGGAACCACTCCCACTATTGAAACTTACATTGGCCTGAGTTCTTGGTGTGCTTTTTTCAAGGTTTGATTTGTGTCTGCCTATATATGTTGGCTTTTATGAGTGAATTTTATTGTTTGCTATAGCTGGGTTGGTTTCTAAACTAGATGGCATGCTATTTAAATTTGTCTATTTCACTCGGTAAGCTGCCTAGAGAAATTATTATTATTATTATTATTTTGGCAACTCATGAAGGAATAAACATGGAGAGGCTTTCAAAAACGGCATTTCCCAACACCAGTGGCTGTTGCTGTCCATTGGAACTGATGGGGCAGAAGGCAGGGAGGTCAAAAGGAGGGGCAGCCAGAGCCAATGACAGGCAGGGCCAAGTAAATCTAGATTCATCCCCTCTCTACCTCTCAGCTGAGTTATGCAAGGGCAATGCTGAGTTTAAGGAGGAGGAACAAACTGATAGACAGTACAAACACACCCTAAGAAGGCACCCTCCAACATTCCTCCAATGAAAATAGGGACTTCCTATTCCATAATAATAATAATAAGTAATGATAATGATAATAATTTTACTATTTATACCCCACCTATCTGACTGGGTTGCCCAAGACACTCTGGGCTGCTTCCAACATATATAAAAACATAATAAAATATGAAACATTGACAAAACTTCCCTATACAGGGCTGCCTTCAGATAAGTTGGGGCTCGGATAACTCCACACCCTCCAGTATTTCTCTGATGAAAATAGGGACATCCTAAGGAAAAGTGGGATGCCATGGGATCAAATCAGAAATTGGGACAGCTTCTGTAAATCCAGGACTGTTCCTGGAAAATAGGGACCCTTAGAGGGTCTGGGGGAGGTGGGTACTGGCTGAGGCCAGACTGAGGTTGCCCTATTTATCCTAATGGACCAGCCTCCACAGCAGCCTAAAGTGAGCCAATCTACCTCAGGATTCAATCTCCTCACGCTTCCTTGCAGGTGTGGCCCTCCAGAGATTGCTGGACTACAATTCCCACCAGCCCCTGCAAGCATGGCCGATGGCCAGGGATGATGGGAGTTGTAGTTCAAGCAACATCTTGAAAGGCTAATGGTTCCCCACTAACGGTTCTCTTGCCTGTTTTTCACCAGGCTTTATAGATGCTGGCTCTTTTTTCTTTTAAGTTTTGCGCTGACAGAGCCCATACAGTGAAGCAGGCCGAGGTGACGGATGGGGTGGGACACAAGTTGAATTTTCCACCTCAGGTGGACAGCTGGGCTGTCTCTAGGTTTTGGTACTGACTTTCACAATGGCTTGGCTGTTTTCAAGCTGCGTTCTGGTGAACTCTGGGGTTCCTCAACGGAAACTGTAGTAACAGTGCTCTGGCTTCCCTGAAAGCCAGGCAGCCTGCCATTGTCCATCTCCACATGCAATGCAGCCCCAAAGAGCGGTATTGACTGCATTCGTGGTCACACTCCAACAGGCCTAGTCAGGGAATGGAGAGTGAACCCTTAAAATATGCTCTCCCTACCCACCACCACGATCATAGCTGTCAACTTTTCCCTTTACTTGCGAGGAATCCTATTCGGAATAAGGGAATTTCCCTTTTAAAAAAGGGAAACGTTGACAGCTATGACCACAATCCTTTGTACTGCACAAGGGGTTCCTGAGATTCCCCAGCAAACAAGCGAGAAAGTTCCCATAAGGTGGCAGTTTTGAAAGCTACTGGTTTAGTGACCTGGGCCATATCCCCACAGTACATTTAAAGCACTCTCATGCCATTTCAACAGTCAAAGCTTTCCCCCCAAAGAATCCTGGGAACCATAGCTGCCAACTTACAGATTTGAAAATAAGGGACCAGCAGCCTTGAAAATAAGGGATCAGCAGCCAAAATAAGGGATTTTGCTTAGCTTATGCACGTCGGGGCTGCCGTCGTCCTGGCGCGAGGAGTTCCATCGGCCCTTCCCCACCCGAGAGAGAGGGAGGGAGGAAGAGAGACTCTCGCCCGCGAGCCCAGCATGAGGCGGTTGTGGCGCCCTTCTGCGTCTCTCCCCATCCCCTCCTCTTCCTCCTCCCTCAGGCCGCCTCCTCAGCCGCCTCCGGCTTCCCCTGGCAGCACGGCGGAAGTCTCGCAAGAGAGGGACTGCCTGCCCGCCCGCCGCCACCTGTCTCCTCACGACACGCCCCTGAGGGGGAAAAGGGAGAGACGGAGACGCAGCAGCTCATGTGCGCTCTCTCACGTGGCGGAGGACCCCGAGCCGCTGCTTCCCTTCCGAGCCAGGCGAGCATGAAACCCGGGAAATTTAAGGGACATCATCAATCCGGGACAGCAGTGGGACACAGCACTGGGATAAGGGAGTTTCCCGCCAAATAAGGGACGGTTGACAGCTATGCTGGGAACTGTTGCTAAGGCTGCCAAGAGTTGTTAGGAGACCCCTCTTCCCCTCACAGATTCCCAGAGTTCCCTGGGAAGCAGGATGGGCTGCTAAACCACTCTGATAACTTGTAGCTCTGTGAGGGGAATGGGAGTCTCCTAACAACTCTCTCTCAACCCTAAATAAACTACAGTTCCCATCATTCTTTCGGTGTGGGAAGCCATGGCTTTTAAAGTGATATATGAATGCTTCAGAAGTTAATGGCGTGCATGTGACCTTAGCGTGCTTCCACACGGCAGCTGTTGCAGACTTGGTACGACTCATGCATGCAGGGTTTTTGAAATGTCCGCACCCTGCTGGTGTCATTCCATACTTCTTCCTCCATGTAAACTGGTGTTGCTGTTTCCATGTTGTTTGGTTTATTACTTATTATTACAGGGCATTGCAAGGATGGTGTGCATCCATGAACAGCACCGAGTCCATAATGCAGAGTGCCCTAAGGCTCTCTTGGAGAGCAGTGGGGAACCTCTGGCCTTCCAGAAGTTACTGAACTACAAATCCTATCAGTCCTAGCAAGCATGGGCAATGGCGAGGGATGATGGGAGCTGTAGTTCAGAACATCTGGAGAGCCAAACACACAGGTTCTCCATTAAGTGGATTTATTGTTAACTGTTAGCGACATCGCACATTGGAAGAGACGGCCTATGCATTTTAGGCTCCATCTGCACTATGCATTTAAAGCAGTATCATACCACATCATGGCTTCCCCTGAAGAATTCTACGAACTGTATCTTGTTAAGAGTGCTAACAGTTCTCAGAATCCCCTTGGAAGAGGACCTGGTGTTTAAATCTCTCTGGGAATTGTAGCTCTGTGAGGGAAATTGGGGTCTGCTAACATCTCTCAGCACCCTTAACAAACCACAGTTCCCTAGATTATTTGGGTGCAGCCATGACTGTTGAAAGCAGTATGATACCACTTTAAATGTATAGTGTAGATGTGGCCTTTAAAACTTAATAAATCTAAACATTATCTGTTCAACATTGATACTTTATTCAGGAGGCATATTGAATAAGAATAATCTTATTATTTATACCCTGCCCATCTGGCTGGGTTTCCCCAGCCATTCTGGGTGGCTTCCAGCACATGTAAAAACACAATAAAAATTAAAACATTTAGCACTTCCAATAGTAATAATAATTTTACATACCGTATTTTTTGCTCTATAAGACTCACTTTTTCCCTCCTAAAAAGAAAGGGAAAATGTGTGTGCGTCTTATGGAGCAAATGCAGGCTGCACAGCTATCCCAGAAGCAAGAACAGCAAGAGGGATTGCTGCTTTCACTGTGCAGTGATCCCTCTTGCTGTTCTGGCTTCTGAGATTCAGAATAGTTTTTTCTTGTTTTCCGCCTCCAAAAACTAGGTGCGTCTTGTGGTCTGGTGCGTCTTATAGAGCGAAAAATACGATAGCCTCCATTTGAAGCAGGGATGGGATGTTGCAGGACTCCAACTCCCATCCTCACACTGGCCATGACCATGGTGGCTGAGGCTGATGGGAACTGGAGTCCAACACTCTCAGGAGGACCCCTGTCTCAATGCCATTTCACAACCAGGCCTTGTCATACGTGCGGAAAGAACACGGCTCTGCTTGTCTCTTAGCTAAGACTGCATAACTATTGCATGTGCCAGGGTCGGGCGGAATCCCAGGTTTGTAAGGTTTGTAAAGGGGGGGGGGGAATTGTCACAAGAGAGCAACTCTTTGAGGTTTGCACGAGGCTCCTGTCATCTTGAATACAACATGGTTGACTGCCTGGAGATCGCTTTGTGCTGTTTTTTCTTTTTCCTTTTGGGGACAGAAAGCTCTCAACAAGTCACTCTCAGAATTAGGTCTGACTGAAACCAAAAGCTGTGTAGCTGGGTTCTTTCTGACTCGCCAGGCTTGTTTGTATTCTGTATGTTAAGGCGTGCTAACTATCCTGATTCTCTGTGGCTGCTGAGGTTATTAAGGGCTTGGAATTTCCACAGCTCATGTGAATTTTAGAGTCGGGAGACCCAAATGGATTTCCCCTGCCACTTTTCATTTCCTTACGTCACAGCTTGCGATAGCTATGCCTGCAGCGTGCTCTGGGTTTTCTCAACCAATATGGCTTGGGCCCAGAGTAGGGATGGATGGACCCATCCGTTCCAGTTTTATCATATTTTTCCAGTTTTAAATTGAGTTTTCCCCAATTCTACACCATTTCATGATCCCAACCCCCCCAAAAAGCTTATGAAAATTCACCAGCATTTTAGTGTGAATTTCTTATAATATACACGTCTGTATGCAATTATGCAGATTTTTGGA